CCCCCCCCCCCCCCCNCCCCCCCCCCCTTTCGAGGCCCAAAGGTCGGGGCCCGCAGAGCCGCATGGACTTTGCTTGCTACGGGGAAGCTCTGCTCTTGCGTCCAACTCGTGCCTTTCGCCTCCCCAGGCACGCAGAATCGCGCCGCGTGCTACGATGGACGGGCTTGATTTCCTGCTGTTTGGGGTTAGGATCTTGCGTGCCCAACGTGCTGTTCTTGTGTGATTCTGGGTCTTTTTTTTGCTCGATATCGGAATGCGCCGCCAGCCGCCGATGGTAACTGAACAGGGCGGTCTTGGGAACTGTGCGCCTCGATTGTCTTTCTTTGGTAGTTACTTTCCGTCCTTTTCCCTCCCTTTCCTCACAAGAGGCTCATATACCTCCTTACCAGGCCTATAACACATGCATCTCTATTGCAGTAACAACCAGCAGGTGCTGTTTCTTAGGCCGGGCCTGGTTGTATGGTTGGCCAGCCTCAAGTGCAATAGGTGGCCATTAACATGATAATGAGAAAACTCAAAGCAATATGATGGACAAGAAAGAAATAAAAACACACGCCCCTTCTGCGCCTGCCCTCACCGCAAGTTGTATGTGTGCCGGATCACAAGAACCCACAAGTCACCTCGGAGGTGCGAACCACGGCGTGCGCCCAGCTCGGCGGCCATCAAGCCCGTGGTGCGATAGCCGGTGTCGTCGCAGCCGCCCTTCCGCCCGGATTAAAGGGTGGGTGCGCGCAGCCAGGCAAGAGCCGCAGAGAGCTGTCGGTAGGTCGGACAGAGCAAATGGGGGAGGAGGCAGAGAGGCACCCCATCGAAGCGTGGGACCGCGTTGTTCTACCACTCTCTCTGTGTTCGGACGAAAAAGGGGCAAATCAGACTCGCGGGATACACTCCGTCACCGTGACGACCAAGGAGCACGGCGTCGAGGCGGATCTTCTCCTTTCCACGTGGGTCCTTGCGGAGGGTTTCTCGCCCCATGCCTGTGTATGCAGGCCGTGTTCAACGTTCGGTCTCCCCATTCTCCAGCACAACGGCACCGAGACACGGTGTACTCGGCCGGGGTCGTCCAGGGCTGTTCCGTCTCTGGGGCTATGATCTGCCGATGATCATGCCTCTAGCTTCTCGCCCGTGCTAGCGAGGACGACATATGGATCGGGTCATGGCTCCGCTGGTCGCTAAGAGGGCCGTCACGCCCCCAAGGCCGCATCGGCCGGGAGTCGTGGAAGGAGGCGGTGATGAAGTGGCCGAGGCTGTCACCGTAGTTTTGAATTGCTATGGACATCGCAAGACGGACACTAGGTAGACAAGTCCGCGACTGGGGGATTCTCCTCCTCTTGTCTAAAGCGTCATAGGATGGGGCGAGTCATTTCCCGGTGGTGAGCAGCTCCAGTCAGTGGTAGCCGGGGCCACAACACCAGCTAGAGGCTGAGGCAACGAAAAAAAAGAAAAAAAACGCTCATCCAGTGTGCAGCCTCACTTTGCGGATTGCCCACTGATATTGTGACATGAAGTTGTTGTTTTGGAGAGTAGACTCGGTAACCGAGCACGGTGGATACGCTCGCTAAAACATTGGCATCTAGCAACAGCCTTGCCGCCCATGGCCTTGTGCGCTGGCAGCTCCGAGATTCACACGCTCGGCGAGACTTGCGGTGTTAATGCTCACTGGGAGTCCCTCAAGCTGGGATTCCATTGGAGAGAAAATTTTGCACACCGACGTGAGGGGAGTGGGAGCGTGATGAGAGGTGTTGGAGCGCAAGGCGTGTGACGGAGGCCTGCAGCGAGTCTCGCTCTCCTTCTTTTTTTTTCTCTTTCCTACACGCTTTAGCGTCGCTCCCCATGCTGTCGTCTTGATATGGCAAGGCGAACACTGTCTCCGCTTCTCCTTCCTCGTCGCCACCAGTCCATCAAGCGTCGCACGGCATCAGAGGCGGCCAGAAGGGGGGGCGTGTTGCCTCTCATACCCGCAGATGGCATGCCGGCGAATACATGCATTCGACTTCACCTCCTACCATTCTGCAGCCCTCTTGCTATCTCTCTAGCGAGGTCTTACCCTTCCAACGCGTCTTGAGTCCCGACATTCTACCATGCCGTGTAGCCACCATGAGACTCCGGAAAAGGCGATCTGGATATCATGAGCTCGCCACCGTCGTCTCGTATTAATCCTCCGACTCTTGGGCGTCGTGTGGGCTAGGAGCGTTATGCATGTCTTGTGTCTCCCGGGCTCGCCGGTGAACCCAGCACATGAGAGGGCGTCATCGAGCAGAACTGTCTCCTGGACCGCACGCAGTGCAGGGAGCTGTGTGCTTGTGCAGGATAACCTGCCTGTTTGCCCTGAGGGGTCTCCCTCACTGTACAGCCTACTTTTGATGGCCTTTCAAAATCATGACGGGCATTTTTCCCGTTGCGGTTTCTACCTTTTTTCTTGATCCACGGAAACCAATATCGACGGGCACTTGCATTGGCCATTCATAATGCTTCAGCTGAACAGCCTATAAGTTGTGGACACACTCGCATGCGACTCACAAAATACGAAAAGAGACGCTCTTTGGTCCAGAAAAGGCCCACGGTGTGGCTGGGGATGGAACGTGTACGACGATTGGGCAGCAATCCCATGTAGAGGCGGCATGACCTGCGATAAAACAAAACAGAAGTCAATAATGAACGAGAGAAAAAAAGAAGAAAAAAAAGCACACAGTCCGCAATGACAAATGCGGTCCGCTGGCGTCCTGTAGGGTGCTTGCAGAAGCAGGTTTGGCCGTTGCATTTCGACTGGCTCGCATCGACCTTCCCGGGGAGGCTTGGGCCGCAGCAGCAGCAGGCGTCCGTCGAATTGGTCCTCAGGTTCTAGACGTTCTGGATTCCGGCGCTCGCAAGAAGCGGTGAGCGAACAAAGCCTGGAAGTGTGGTGGTGTTGGGAGGTGAAGGGGAGCGGGATCACACCCACTAGTCTAAAAGGAGGGTGTATGCATCCCCACCCCCTAGCGAGCCCGTTGATTTGCAAGGCTGAGAGTGGTCCGACCCTACTACATACGCAGTAGTGCACTCCCACCCATGCCTGCCACCCTACTTGCGTCTCGCACAATCTAGCCCACATGCGATTTGCAGTCCCAGCCAGAAAAAAAAATCCGGGTGAAGCAAGCCTCGTCGTAGCCACCGGCCTATCAGCGTCGGGGTCTCCTCTGGGAGACGCGGAACGCTCGTCCGAGGCGGGAGGGCTCCACTGGCTGCTTTGCTATTGATGCCCGCCGCATGCGCCGCGAGATGCCGTTGAGCCAGCCACTTTTTTTTTTTTTNTTTTTTTTCTTTTTAATCGCTTTCGTATCTTCCTAGCACCCTGACGGGCTGCCAATGACAGACTTGCATTTATACCATATATTTAGGCACACACATCCATAAAGGACACATGCCGCTTGGCACAGTAGACGAAGCACGGAGATAGAATGGCGGACAGTATCAATCCATTCATCCGCCATGTGCTGCTGCAATGAGCGGCCCCCAAGAGGTGGCCGCATGGCCTAGTACCTGGGCATCCGGCCTCCATCCGTCATTGGTTGGTGGAAAGGCACGCGTTCGACTCTTGGCCTGTGTGTCGATATGCAGAGCACACACTTTGACTCTCGGCGGCGGCGAGGGGGATAAAAAGGAGGAGGGAGGGAGGGGCCGTGGCAAAGGTCGTGGCACACGTGCCCTAGGCTGGGGGTGTCTAGAAGAGGGTTCCTTTTTTGTGGTGATGGCTTTTGCCCTCATCTCGGTCCCGCGGGCACTTGCAGACGCGGCGACTGTCACTTGCGGTTGATCCCCATGCACCCGTGTCCGCTCGCTCGTCGGAACGAGGGAGGGGACAGCGGCATGAGGGATGGGAGGAGCGGGCGAGCACGAGCAGGAGAGCAGGAGACGTATGTGCGCGCGCAAGACAGACAGGAGGAGGGCAGGCCAACGCATCTTGCGTCTGGGACTCCACGAGCCGCTTGGGCGAGTGACTGCCTGCAACTACAGCCCTTCAACCTCATTCGTTTTGCTTGAACGGGGTCCCCTCCGCCAGCTTACCTTTTCAGCGCCCTGACCGATCTGCGGGCGAATCGGAGGCGCTATGCGAGACAGGGCGGATGGCCATTGGCGGCGGTCTGGGTCCCCGCACCACGAGCTGCGCCGACGCCCGGCTGCAGTGGCAGGAGGAGAGTTTACGGCGGTGGAGGTGGTGGAGGTGGTGGAGGTGGGGAGGGAAACCAAACCCCCAGCGCCGTGCTGAGCCGTCTCGAATATTCTCGCGGTGGGCGTGGCCCATCCAAGTGAGGGTCGGAGGAACGGAGGAGGGGGGGGGGGGCCATGACGTCTCCGAATCAGACGCCGTAAGTACGTGCATGGCGGGGGCATACGATGAGAGTGACGAGAGGCGATGCTGTGCATGCCTTGGCTGGGCCGGATGCAGCGAGACCTATCCCCATTTCCGATCAATGTGCCAATTGGAGTGGGAAAGGAGGGCGTCCTGCACACCTTGTCGCCGCCACCACGGTGTCGTAAGACGTTAGATTGGCAAGACCGGTAGAGTGGCACAGCCGTGGGTGGGTGGTTGTTGCTGTTCGAGGTCGCGATGTTTTTTTGTTTTTTTGTTGGTGGTTCTGGCCGCTGCGGATTGCAGCTTCTGATTCAAGGGGGCGGGCGCCGCACCGCTCTAAAACGAATGGGCCAGACAGGCGACCTTTCTGCTTACTACGGCGCTGATATCCTGCCAAGGCTGGCTAGCCCCAGCAGGTGGGTGATGAGTGCTTCAGCAATGGACAAAGCAAAACTGCTTCCATTCCTGCTTCATTTTCCGAGGCTGACTGTTCGGGAATAGACATAAACACCAATTGCCATCGGCCACGATCTCCGCTGGCCGTGAGGAGCTTGGAGGGCGTGCTGTGCCTGGCCGGCAAGCGTGGATTGAGCGGTGACATTTCATTGCGCTCCAACCAGAGTGTCGGGGATATTTTTATTTGTCTTACATGTTTCGTTTCTTTTCTTTTTTTTTTTACTTCCCCATCATGACGGCGGGTCTGTCGTTTGTGAGGCTGCCCCTCCACCTTTTGACACTTGACAAACAGAAACGGCGCTGAGACGACGTTACCCCTCCTTGGTTTGGCGTCACCCGGGCTCCTAGAACCCTTGGGATCTCCACAGCTGCGCTCTTGGGGAGGGCGGTTTGCGCGTTCGCTTGTCTTGGAATCTGCCGAGGACTGGGTTGGGTTAAGTTCCACCCACCAAAAGGCGGCGTGGCAGCCAGCTTTTGGCGGCTTTTTTTTGGGGTGTGTCAAAAGTGTGTGAATCACCAGGTCGGGTTGCCCTACCGAGCATGATGTTCTCCGAAGAAGGGCGGCACAACGGAGGATTGGAAGAGGGTAGCCGTTCGTGCCATGGCCTGCGGGCTCCTTGTGATTAACAGCGGATCATATCGCGACCCAGGCGAGGTACGGTCTGGTTTGTACTAGCAGAGGCTCAGAGGGTACCAGCAGAGGGCACCAGCAGAGGGCAGGCCAAGGTTGCCGAGTGATGTCGGACGAGGAACGCCTTCTCGGACGGTTGATGCGTTACAAGGGAATTGTTGACACGGCCGAACAATGGAAGTCGGCGAATACAATCATCTCCCCTCCCGCCCTCGCCTCTTTTGGTGGGCCGCATCTGCATCCACAGGACGGCCACTCGACCAGCACAGACGGCTGCACTGTATGCGCACCGCTTGCCCGACTACCCCATCACGGGCGCGGTAGCCTAGCAACTCCCCAGAACAACTCCCTGGGCATCAATCAAGGTCGTACATGGTGAAATGAGAAGAGAACAAAAACTCCAGCTATATCGTCGAAACCCGACAGATACCAAGGTGCACGAATCAGCGAGTACGTCCTTTTCTCCCGCCCGGTCGAGGTGGGGTACGCATGATCACCGTCGCCGCTCGGCATTGATTGCCGGTGGGCTTGGGCAATACGTAAACGGAGGACCGCTCCCCCAGTCTCTCCCATGGTGGGCTGGGGCTGGCGTGGCCTGGGCCATGATACTGTTCTCTTGTCCTGGTCTGCCCTGCGCCTCACGCCTGGAGCTTGGTGCAAGTTCAGGGTGGACAACCGCCGCGCCCGCATCCCAACTAGGACGGGACATGCATGTACACAACGTGCTGCGTGCAGTACCTACCAGGTACAGCATAGACTGTCCAAAGTGTCCATGTACTACTAGCCGTGCCTTGTGCGCCTTCTACACCGGATCCAAAAAGATCGATCGGTTCAAGGAGCGCGAGGTGGCTCCCTGGGTCGGTACGTAGCCAAGCGCCGAGATATAACCCGGCGAGAAGCCCCTTCCTTCACCCCCCCTCTCCCGCTCTCCGTTTCAACTCGTCCAGCTGGGCAGGAAATGTGGACCAAAATAGAGAGGCAGTCACTTGCGTCTGTCGGTTTTCTGCCTCTCTTTCCTTCTTACTCTCCCGTTTGATTCTTCCGCCACGTCCTCTTCAATCCTTTCACCGTCACCCTTCCTCGTCCCGTCTTCTCCCAGCTTATATATACCCCGCCTCTTCCCAATCGTACCGTTCCCACCACCCTCAGTCCGCAGCTGCATACGTGCTTGGAAGCAGACACTGAGAACGGAAGGAGCGCTGCACAGTGCACAGTGCAAACCACCACTGCACAGCCCCCCACCCGCACCACTTTCACCCCTGAGACCACCTAGGCCCTAGTCGCTGCCCGACCCGCGCAGAGTAATCAATGAGCTGCTGCTAGCGGGGATCCCACCCATCACAGCCTCAACTGGCACTGCCGCTCAAGTCCATAAGACGTTGGAAAACGCCGGCCCCGGCGTCCCTAGCGGCATTCCTCGACCTTCCTCGACCAATTCTACTTTCGGCTTTTCGAGCTTCGACCTGCCATGTTTCCCACCAACTGAACCCGGGTGTGACAAAGGCAAACGAACGAACTCGTCGAGGGGCAACACCCCCCACTACTAGCGTCCACGGTCGATATCTGGGGCACCTCGCGGCCCCCTCGCAACACTGATCGTCATGGTCGAGTCGGCCAACGTCCGCGGCGGCCTGAACACGGGCCATTGGGCCGGCTCCCTCCCTCGGGCCAAAACGCCCCAACCGTAAGACTTGTATTCCGCTTTCCCCGACTTCTTTTTTTGCTGGTTTCTTGTGGCTGATAATCGACTGGTGTGTCGTTGTGTTTGCCTAGATTCGAAAGCGTGCCCACCCCTATCCGTGCGAACCAGTCGTCCAAACTCGACCGCCAGGTTCCCCGGACTTTTGATCTTCAGTTGCTCCCACCACACCGCTACCCCCCGCCGCCGAGTGTCGAAGACGAGGCCCAGTCGCTGGCCAAAGAGCTCAGTGGCCCCGTCTCCTCGGTCGTGTCGTCCGAAGACGAGCCCATAAACCGCGGCGAATTGGACCAGCATCCGATTCTGGAGGCGGTCAATGGCCAAGATGACAGCGCCAGCAGCCCCGACAGCCCTGACATCCCCGAGTGGAGGTTTGTCCATGTGCCGACGTCTGGCAGCGATGGCAACGACAAGACCGTCAAGGCGAAGCCCGCCTACGAGGCCAACACATGCCGCAAGTTCACCATGCCACTGCGGACTACAGATAAACCGGCAGAAAAACCAACAGATAAACCGGCCGACAAGCTGGCCGACAAGCTGGCCGAGAAGCCGGCCGAGAAGCAGCCCGATAGGCAGGACGATAGGCAGGGTAGGCTAGGCGGCAGACTGGGCGATACGCTGGGCGACAAGCAGGAGGAGGACTACCGGAGCAAAAGCCGAAGGCGACGAAGCGAATTGCCTCGCATCGAGACCGACTTTGCTGGCGGCATCCCCCCTCCGCGCTCCTCCCGAACTCCCGGTCCCACCTCCTCCCGCACCCCAGCCAGATCGCCGTCCCCATCGAGGGACCGTGACAGGAACAAGTCCATGGGCCGTTCAAGAGCCCGCTCCAGAGCATCGCCCCCATTAATTCACAGAACAAAATCCAGCGCTCAGATAGACCAGGAGCCTCTGGACTACTTTGGAAAGCAAGAGTCACGTGGACCTCCTGGTGATGGGTACTTGTCGCCGGCCCCTTCCGTCATAAAGCACTCGACCAAAGGGCGGGATAGGGCCTATGTCGACTTCAACCCCAGCAGCGCTGGCGGTGAATCGCGCCGTCGGTCCAACACAGTCAGCAGGCCAGCAAATGATGACCACAGCGGGGGACGGAGTGCCATCGGACTTGACCGGCTGCGCTGCCCTTCAGAAGACGTTCCAATGCACAGGCGCTCGGCTAGTGCCATTGACATACCAAAAGACTACCGGAGGCCTTTGGATCGGGATCGGGAAAAAGATCGCGACCGAGAGCGTGACCGGGATCGCGATAGGGATCGCGACCGGGACCGGGATCGAGACCGTGATCGTGACCGAGAACGGGAACGAGACCGCGATCGCGATGGCAAAAGGCACGGAACCCGCTACTACCATGGCGAAGTCTCGAGCTCGCGATCCGATAGGAGGTCCTCACCTCCATCACGCCGTCACTCTCAGCGTCAGAAGTCAACAAGGGACGATTCGGGATACAGAAGTCAGCGCTCCCCACAGACACGGACCCATAGCGACTCCTCGAGCGACGAGTTTTCTGCGGTTTCGCGCCGTTCGGCCTGGGACGCCCGCGAACGACGCAAGTCCTTCATCGGGCAGGCCGACCAGAACTACCTCCTTGGCCCAGACTCCAGCCGGTCACACGCAAATGGGAGAACGGGCGGCGGCGTCTCAAGGCGAGGTACCCCTCTGCCCTCGCCAAGGGCGTCTACTTCGGCGGTTGGGGCTACTTCTGCTCTTCCGAGCCCTCGATCCTCGACGAGCTTCCCAATCCCCGAGGAGACCATCATCCGGCCCAGCGAGGAGCACCTCCTTGTCCCTCCTGCGTCCCCCTTATCCCCCACCAAACCATCGCTCAGCGGGGCTTTCCTTGCGGTACCAGCCGAAGCTGAACCGCCACGACGTCCAGAGTCGCGGTCGCAGTCTTATCGTCCCGAAACCTCTCGACGGCCCGAGTCCAGGGCGCAGCTTCGCACGTCGAGCTTTCCGCCCTCTATACCTCCCGTGGCTGCCGCCGCCGCCGCCGCCGGGGCGGCCGCTGTCGCTGCTGTTGCCAAGTCTTCCGCCGCGGTTTGGGATGCTGCGTCCCCAATCGACCGGAAGAAGACGCCTGCTCCACAGCCGACGCGTGAAGACTCGATCAGCTCGGACGGATCCCAGAACTACTGGCAACCACCCTCCTTGGTGCCCTCCACCTCGGGACACTCGGTACAGTCAGCCGTCTCCCTCGTTCAGGCTCCAACAGACAGGGACGACGGATCACTGCCGATTTGCAACCGCCGGGAGCCACAGGCTGGCTTTAGCGACTGGATAACGCTCCCCCTCGCTCCCACATTCAACATCTGCCCCAGCTGCTACAAAGGCATTTTCGCAGACACCGAGTTTGCGCATTCTTTCGTCTCCGCGCCCTACCGCCCGTCAGACCGGCCCATAGCGTGCGACATGGGAACGTCGGCCTGGTACCACGAAGCCTGGGTCTTGATAAAGAGACACCGACTTCCCAACCTGCAGCTGATCCAAAAGATGGCCGTGAGCGCCGGCAAGCACCAGCCGTGCACCGGTAACCAGACCGCAACGCGCGTGTGGATGACAGTCCGGCGCCCTGGGAACGGCGAGCCCGTGGAGAACTTTACAGCATGTCTGCCCTGCGCCGAAGCAGTGCATATACTGTTCCCGAACCTGGCCGGAGTCTTCCAGCCACTCGGCCTGAAAGCCGAGCCGACTCACTCCACTTGTTCGCTCGACTGCGCGCCAACACGAAGAAAGTGGTTTGGGCGTTACCTGGACCAGTTTGAGCAAGTGTCCGAGGACGCACTTAAACGCGGCTCGGCTCCGGACATGCGGCAGCTCTGTTCGAGGCTGAAGCGCGTCACCGAGGTGATGTGCGCTCGCAGCCGGCAGCTGAAGGGCCGCGAGTGGTTCGTCATGAATTCGGTGCCCGAGATGACGGTCTGCAAGGTCTGCTACGATGACGCGGTGGTCCCGGAGCTGGACCTCATGAACCCGGTGGCCATAGACTTCCTCTCCCACCCAGTCTTTCTGAAACGGCCGCATACCTGCCAGCTCTACTCGGATCGCATGCGCGCCATCTTCCAGAAGGCATGCCGTACCCAGGACATGGGCCTCCTGGTCCAGAGAGTGAGCGAGAGGGCCGAGGTGGAAAAGGAGTGCAGGAACAAGCTGGCCGAGTACGAAGCCCGCAATGCGAGCTCGGGTGGCGTATATCAGCACAAGCTCGACTACTACACTAGGAGGTGGCAGAGGGTTGAGTGAGCATGATGTCGTCATTGTGTCATGATAACGAAAGCGACGACTACAGATTTCACGAGATTTCCCTTTTCTTATTGTATCAACATTCCATGGGAGAGATTTGGATCTTTTTTACACTGTTCCTATGAAGGTCCTGTGCATTTCTCAGCCAGATTTTTTTTTCTCAAGGTGGCTCGACGAAGGGTGGGCTTGAATAGAAGGAACAGACGTTTCACATGATAAATAAACACCACCTGCAATACCAGACAAAAAGACTAGACGCATCCATGTTGAATTCGCTCCGCGGCCACAGCAGCTTCCTACTGCAACCATGGCCTCCTCCATCTCGCATGCACGTCGGACGGGATGTCCCGGCCCCCCCCTCCAAGAAGATCTATCCATCCGATAGACAATCGGATGATTTTTGATTTGATGCCTTGCATATGTAACGTCAAGTGATGCTTGTCTTCTGCGGGCTGGTGGGATGCCGTCGTTGATTGGACGGCTTGCCGTCATAAATCATCTCCTCGACAGGTATCCCGGAAGGGCCTAAAGATGTGGTGGTGGCCTGATTGGGAATGATAAGAAAGAAACAACCACCCATTTTTAACTCTTTTTTTTTTCTTCTTTTTTTCGCGTCGCTGTTTCTGTTACATATCATCTACCCAAAGAAGTCGCTAGGCACCGTTTACAAGGCGATTGAAATCACAGCTTGCTCACACGCAGCATGATGGTGTATGATGCGCTTGTGCCTTTGTGCAGAGTGGCGCAAAGACCAAAGACCTCAACTCATGTCCATAACATCATCCCACCCACCCAGTCCATCCAGAGGCCCCAGCCCTCTGAACATGTCGTCGCCCAGGTCGAGGCCGCCGTCGAGACCGCCGACCGAGTTGGCCGATGAGCCGCCCAGGTTGAGGTCGCCACCGCCGAGGTCGAGCCCGACGCCGACTGAAGTGTCGAGCGACATGCCGTCGGCGCCTGCCGTGTTCTCGGCCGCGACTGCCGCGGCCGCGGCCGCCATGGCCGCATCTCCAGCCATCATGTCGTTGATGTCGCCGCCCTGTAGCATGCCGGCCGTGGCGGCAGCCGTGGCGGCGGCAGCCGCGGCGGCGACGGCGGCGTCCGACACGGCCATCTGCTCCTCGACGCGGCGGTGCAGGCGCACGACGGCTTCGGCCATGGCCGGATCGTGGCGCTGGATCTTCTTCCAGTCCTCGGCCTCGTAGCGCAGCGCCTGGCGGAGCGACATGAGGCGCTGCTGCTGGGGCGGCAGGGGCACGGGGGCCACGACGCCGCCGGCTGCGTCGAGCATGTTGTTCATTTGCTGATGTTGCTGCCGGGCCGCCGCCTCATCCGGCTGCTCGCCCGCGCCAGAGTCCGGCGCGCAGACTAGGGCACAGCAGACGTCGAGCGCGACGCCCTCGTTGCCTTGCACGGCCTGCTGCCGGAATTCGTCCAGCAAGAGACGCAACAGACCACGCGCCCGCATTAGCCGGAGGGCGACCAGCATCTGACGGTGCGTGTAGGGGGTTGGGGTCCGCTCGGGGTCGGGAGGCGCCAGGCTCCAAGACACGAGGCCCCTGAATGTGTGACGAACGGCCTGGTTGATGCCGCCGCCGGGCGTGCCCGTCCATTGATCGAGCTCGTTGTTATCGGCAGCCCCCGTACGCCTCGACACCGGGACTTGCGCCTTTAGGATACGGAGCAGCGGATCGATGTCCTGATTCTTCACATCCTGACGTTGGTATGTACGCAGTGCAAGATCGAGCGGCTTGGCGACCATGCATAGCACGGATGTGAGCATTGTGGATGCTTCATTGGAAATGGAACTGGGGGCGATGATAAGCTGTAGTATCCTGATGATGGCCTTTTGTTCTTCGGAACGATCGATCCAAAGATGGTTGCACAGATAAATAATTGCTGGCACCAGGGCCGGGAGAAGGAAGGTATCGACAAGATCTACAGCTTAGTCAGTGGCAATTCGCGGGGCGGGGCGGGGGAGTGTCTTGGGGAAATGGAAGAGACGCGAGAACAACTCACACTCCAAGCCGCTCTTAAGACTGTCCTCGGAGAGGCAGCCCGTACTGACGGCGAGTACGATATTGTAGAAGAGAGTGGGTATCAAGAGATAAAACTCCTGCGGCGGACACGCAGACATCAGCTCATCGCCTAGGCCACCAGCATCGCTATCGAAGAGACCATGAATCCACTTGTCGAGGTGGCTCTGCTCCTGCTCCGAGAGCTCGTCCAGGTGCAGGGCCATGTGCCCGCGACTTATCAGCTTAGCGATAAACGAGTCGGCGGACCTGGTGCCCAGGTCGGCGGCAGTGAGATTGTAGCGGTGGATAAAGGCCAACAGCAGGAGGAGGACGGATCCGAACTCCTCGTAGACGGGCTGGAATTCGCCCTGGTCCTCGTCGTATCTCCAGTTATCCAGAAGCTCGCAGAGTGGGGTTACTATGGTTGGCAACTTGTCAAAGAGCAGCAGCACGTCGAGATAGACGGGGTCTCTCGCTAGTTGATTACACAGCGTCTTCAAAGTCATGGTCTCCTTCATGTCGCATAGCTGGCCGAGCACCTCGACCAGGGCCTGGCTGATGGCGCCGACGTTGCCGTCGCACTTGTCGAGATTCCTGACCAGCTGGTGGGTCTTCTCTGGGTCTGCGAGGCACTCCTGCACCAGGTTGTCCTTGACGAGGCGGCCCTCGGGCGGCAGCGAGTTGATACAAGCCTCGTTAAGAATGGGTACGATGCGCGCCTCAGGAATGAGGCCATGCAAGCAGCAGGCGAAAAGGAAGTCCTCGCGTGTGCCTTCGGTCAGGGTGTTGCCGTTGCGGTTCGAGCTGACCAGGTACTCGGACATGTTGGGAAAGGTGGCCGAGCCAACCTGCCGAACCGCGTGCTCGACACAGGCCGCGGCGTTGAGGGGGTACAAAGGGGTGGCGGATGCGGCCAGGGATACCAGCAGTAGCGGCACCTTGTTCGTCAGGTAGGACCTCAGCACGTGCGCCGCCCTTTGTGGCTGTCGGGAGGTGGCCGCGTGGGCGATCATATCAAACGAGGCTAGTATTAGGTCAATAGCCATTTGCTGCAGGTTTCCCTGGAATCGGTTGTGTAGATAGTTGAATATGGCGACATCGTCCATGAGCGGACGACCGGCGAGCTGTGTTGTGGCGAACATGGCGTTAGCAGGTCCAAGATTCTCCCTGTCGGGTGGAGGATAGCCCACGCACAAGAGAGTTGACGTATATATAGAGACCGGCGCGTGTATGGCTGATGAGTATTTCGGGGAGAACCAGGTTCTCGGGCGGCACGGCCGAGTCGAGGAGGGCGTTCATCTCTCCCTGAGCGGCCTCTATAGCCTTGTCCACAGGCTCAAAGCCAGCCAAGGTCTCGGTCCTGAAGACTTCAAGGCGGGCAGCGATCTGCGCAGCGCTCTGTACCATGGACGGCACAAAATTGGCCAGGCTCTGCGAGAGCTCCTTGCGGGCGACTATGGCGGCAGGCAAACAGGATGCCCCGTCGGGTCAGGTCCACCTCGTCCAGAACAAACAAGCAAGCTGCCCCTGCTCAGCAAAACGACGACATACCTTTTGCCTCGACATGGCTTAATGACGAGAGCATGAGTTTGCTCTCGCAGAGGCCCAGTAGCAACATGACGAAGCCGGCGCGGGCCGACTCCATCTCCTGGAGCGGCAGGGAGTTCTGCAGCGGGCCCATGGGGTCGGCGGCGAAGGCGGCGGCGGCGGCAGTGAATAGGTTCATCCACCGGGCCATAACCCTTGCGATCTCGATGGCGTCTCGAACGCTTCTTATGCCAGAACCCTGAGCGATAGACTTGGTCAAGCGGTAGAAGGTGTGCTCCTCGGCCGCGTACGAGCTGCCCCATACCAGGGGCTGCTGCTTCTGGCGGCGCCGTCCATTATTCTTCCCACCAGCGTCATTGACCCCGCCGGTTAGTTTCTCGTCCTCGCCATCTTTGAGCGCCGGCATGCCAGCCCGGCTCTGGGTATGCGAGGTCGAGTAGCGGTACATGGCCTCGAGGATCGACAGGGCATCGACGAACTGGTGGGCCAGTAGAATCTGCAGGTATGGCGGTATGCGCGGGTCGAGGCAGTCCGAGTTTCCGGGGCGCGGGCGCAGGAAGACGTCGGCGACGGCGCGGGGCGGCAGCGGGTGCTTTGCGTACAGCAGCACCACGTACGAATCGAACGTCTCCGGGTCGAGGCGTGTGGCCAGGCAGCGCGACAGGAACAGCGTCCATTGCTCCATGGCCATGGTGGCGGGGGTCGTCGTCGCCGTCGTCGTCATTGTGGTGTCGCCGCCGCTCGGCGCGGATCCAACTGTTCCTGGCGCCGGTACTGGTGCCGGCGCCGGTGCCGTCTCGCCTCCACCTTTGTCTACCACTGATCCTCCTAGTCCTCCTACTCCTCTTCCCACTCCTCCTGTCGCGTCAGCCTCCATCGGCGGCTACCTACTAGCAGCGTCGCATCGGTCGGGGTCTCGTTGACGTTTCTCGCGTGACCCCTCGCTCGGCCGAAACTCGTTTGGTATGGATGCCGTCAAGGGAAACAGCGCAGCTGGGCCTTTGCTGGGCGCTGATGGGACGCAGTGGACGGATCTGGCCAATGGAGAGCGAAAGCGGCAGGCAACGAGGGAGCTCTCCCTTTGTGTCTTGCGACAAGTCACAGCTTCGTCTTCGGCACTGGCGAACCCACCCGAGGCGTCCGAGCGCAGGGCCGTCAGAATCAATTGACGCTTCAAAATCAACGGTCGCGGTGGGTGCGCGTCTGTCTCGGCTGACCGGGGTCCAGTGCTGCAGCAGAGGGCCAGGCAGGGGAGGAGCGTTCCGTCCAGCACGAAACCCCGGCCCAGGGCCCACTCACACTGCTGTCAAGTCGCGGAAGGGGCGTGCGTGGACCGCTGCCACACGCCTGCCTCTGGACCTTGGAAGCCACCGGCCACCGACACCAGACATCTCCACTCATACGCGCCGAATCCCGACCCTTCTGGCACCGACATATCCAGAAGATCGCGTACTCTCGACGACTGGCCTTGGCGGCTGGCTGGCCACTCCAAGCGCCGCCTTGCTCATTAGGTTGATCTAGACCGCGCATGCATGACAGTTGCATGTACATGCACAGGTACATGACCCACCCCATACTCCTCCTACTCCCACTGCCTATTCATCGTCACCCCTTGCCCACACTCGCAGCCGCTTTTGTCTTTACCTCTGCCTCACCAAAACACCCCACGCAGCAAACACGGCAGAAACACATTTATTTTTATCATGACATTTCTCTCCTGCACCACCTCTTGCCATCTTATATCCCCCCCTGTCCCATAATAAGCATTCTTCCCCTCGGTGTTCCCGACCAACGTCAATCCGGGCTAGTTCAGGAGGTCGCAAGCGCCATTCGAAGCAGGCTCGAAACAGACAGCATGCTTCCCGGCGCTATCATGGTTTCCCAGCCGCGTCTACAGCGGCGCTTGCGTCACCTTCCTTGGCTGCCCGCCACAAAAGAACTTGACGGGCTCGATCAGTTCAAGCGGGGCCTAAGGGGCCAGCGAGTGAGGCGAATCCATTCATTGGCCGCCGCCGCCGCC